AATGGGTTGTTGTTATTGTTCTCATTTAATGAGGATTTTGCGACTGATTAGCAACAAAAATCCATCTCTTCTAAATGGGTTCTTCTTCTTCTTCTTCTCTACCCATTCGCACTAAATGGGTTTAAATTTTCATAAAACAATATAGCTTCTTCTAGGGTATTTTGTTGCCTCCTTGTCGCCTTTTCTCTGTGCACTTAGGAGGGATGAAAAGTCGGCGAAATCAATCACCGCCACACCCTTCAAGAACAATTTCAATGACCAGGTTAATACCAGTATTTCAGATGAGAATTGGCACCCTCATCATCATATCGATTATGCTGATTTATGGGTTTATCAATCCCAATGGCAAATCGCCCACTCCAAAGCCATGGTCATGTATCTTTGGGTGCTTCTCAGTATTAAAAAGGGAGAATTCTCCAAAACATTCTCAAACTTCGATCAAGATTCCTAATTTATGAGGTGTTTCTTCCTTGGTTCAGAAATGGAGAGATTTTGAGGTCGAGGCCAAGTGCTTTTGTTAAGGGAATATAATCCCACATCGGTAAAAATACCGAAATAATGACCAATATATAAAGAATTGGGACACTCCTCTTAACAAGGTTGACCTTTATTAAGATGGATCCCAAATCTTCACATGGTATCAGAGCCCATTAAGCTCCAACGAGCGATTCGATCCGATTAAGTCTCTAAAAATGAGCACACGGATTTCAAGATTGGTCTGCTCAAACGAGCCACCATCTTGCGGGGGCATGTTAAGGGAATATAATCCCACATCGGTAAAAATACCGAAATAATGACCAATATATAAAGAATTGGGACACTCCTCTTAACAAGGTTGACCTTTATTAAGATGGACCCCAAATCTTCAGAGCTTTCAGAGTAATTCACCTTTCTGTTGTACCAGAAGCAATTCGAGCATGACTTTGGCAGAAAAAGTTTCTGATGTTTGTGAAGTTGAGTTCGACTTTGTTAGGAATTGGGCAAAAGGGCAGTGCTGATAAGAATGGGACAAAAAGGGGTAGGAAGAGGATGGGCTGAGGTGGCTAATGATAACCGGCGTGGAGGTGGTTTTTTTAGGTTTTAGGTCTATTTGAAGGCCGTAGGTGTGGGGTGGAGTGAGGTGAGGTGAGTGAAGAAGATGAAATGGACTAGTTGTAGATGGAGGATTTTATTATTTATTTATTTATTTTTGTTTTATTCTAAGTGACTAAAATGTCCCTATTTAAAATGGTCAAAATATCTAATTTTTCTATTTTTCAGATTAACTATCGGTAGAATTCATGTTATCCGTCATTTTTTACTTCGGGTGCTAATATTTCAAAGATTTGAGATCGTTGATGACACAAATTGAAAATTAGAGTAAAGTCTACAAAAAATTCAAAGACATGGAGTCGTTGCTGCAATTATACCTAAAAACTAATATAAGGTCATGTTTGGTACTGATTATGAAAATCAATTTTTTGACCTTTAAAGAAAAAGTGAGTCTCACTTGTGAATGAAGAAGTAAAAAATGATGATCGACTATGTTAAGTAACGATAAAAAAATTGATTTTTTGACTTGAACCAATCACAAGTTATCAGTGTCACCTTGTAGGTTCCTGTTTCTTTAAATCCCTGCAGTAATGCGGATAATTCGCCTTGAAAAGGGTTTGTTAAAAAAAAGGTTGAACCCCAACTTTAAGGGCCTCCACCGCTTAGTCCCTAGAGCACTATGAGGGAGGTAAATCGTGAGATGTGCCCCCAACAAGTCAGGGAACAAGAGCTTGCCTATATACTGGTGTCCACACAATTCCATATCTTAGGAATCGAACTCTCACACTGCGACTGCCAGCAAGACTGAGACTACCTGACTCCTGTCTTTTGCACCACTAGAATATGTCCAGGGGCACTTGAAAAATGGATTGTTGCCTACATGCACAGCTGAATCACCAAGAGTAGGATTGTATGCACAAGTGTGGATGCATCCTGAGAATTCACAGCTCTCAATCGCTAATTCTTTCATTCAGGTAAACAACAAATCATGCTTTTATACTTTGTTTGTTTGCGTAAAATCCTATAATATGATGTAAGGGAACCCCTATATTCAACCAGATAATTTGGTTCGGCAAAACCCTTCTATATTAATAATGTCGTGTCATCATTCATTAGCTGATGAATTAATTAAACTAACTGCATAAATAAATAACAAGCATCAGCTATAGAAAAGAGACAATTATTAACAGGCGCCTCTTACATGGTAAAGATACTGTTTTGGTATGTTTAGCTTTTATTTCTTCTGCGCTCTGAACATAATTCAGCGGTAGAAAATAATCAGCACCACAAAATCTTCTGCAATAATACTCCTATTGCATGTGATGTGTGGGATAGAATTATCATTAGCTTTCTGGGTCTTGTAATTTCATCAATTCTGGTTCAGCCCAACTTCATCATTTGTTTTTTCTGGGGACAGAGGTTGGTGGCTTTGCTATTTTTTAAATTTATTTTTAGGTAGTGTTAATATTGAGTTGAGGAATTCTTCTGCTATTTCTTTGAGATTTTTGAGCTCATTGCTTATGAAATATTAGCTCCTTGCTTTTGGTCCGTGAATTAAAGTTTTGTTGTTTGGCGCTAGTTGTCCAACTCATTGCCAATTTTCTTTCGGTCAAACTGATGGTGCTGTGCTTTAGTTAACATTGTTATGAGACCGACACATCTTGTTACCAAATGTTTGTCGTTCCTCCTTTGTGAGAATTCAGGAACAATCTCTGCATTCACAAGTGAGAAAACGAATGTGGAAGAAAGACTTCTCGAATTATATGCATGCTTATGTACAATAATATTTTACATCCATGACCAAATATTAAGTAGATAGACTTCTAAAAACATATGATAGAAAGTTAACTTTGCAAGACTAAGAAACTTAGTTGTCCATTTCATTTAAGATTGATATCCTTCGCAAATTAAATAGTCTCTGAACCTAGGAATTATTGACATATATCCTTGGTTGGTATAGATTTGATCTAAACTGTTAGTGAATATTTAGTTTTCGCATATGTATACATCTTTCTGTAAAGATACACTCTCTCAAAAGGCCATGCCAAATTCATAAATTTTTGTGAAGCTACAATTTCTAAAATGAGAGTATAAATTCTTTTAAATCCATAAGTTTGTGTGCCATACCAAGCTATGGGACAATTTTCCAATGTCAACGTATACAACTTAGACTACGGATTGTACGTAGACATCCTCGAACCTCACCTTCTTTTAGAAACCTTTCTATATCATGTTTGTTTTGTTTTCGTAATTATATTTCTTCAAAATTCCTATTACAGCATCACAAAGAGGCTTTTTTTTGGCTTTCAATTGTAATGCTCTTTCCTATTTGAACATATTCGTCGTGGAGGTCAAACGGACAATCGTATGCAAGCATGCGTACTGCTACTATCATCTTTTGTAAATTACTTAATCAATTTTTGCCAATTGTATCAACCTTTTATTTAAAATAATCAAGATAAAATGGATTAGAGAGATGTTGGACAGATGGTAAAATTGGGGATAGGACTTTATAAGTAGTAACTTCTCGAGTCTTTTTCAACGATTGACCCTGTCTTAGCACACAATTTAAATGTATGTGGGTGAGATGAGTGAATTGGGGGCTAAGATTTTTTTGGGGATGAAATTGTGAACGAACAATTAGGTCTTAAAAAAGTTTATGGGGCCATGGAAGTTGCATTTCATATATGGCAATTTTGGTGAATTTGATGGTTTGGCTAAGTTGTAATTTTTTTTTTTAACGTTTGTAATTTGTCACATGGAATTTTCGTTCGACACATCAACAACGAGAACAGAATCTAATGGACGATGGATGGAGTGCAACGTCTCAAAGATGAGTAACCATTGAGAAGTAGATTGATGAGTAATGAAATATTTTGTTTGGATGGTTTGGTTGAGTTGTAATTTTTTGATGGTCGTAACATATCATGTGGGATTTTCATGACACGCATCATCAACGAGGATAATAGAATTTGGCGAATGATGGCAATGTCTCAAAGACAAGTGATCATTGAGAACCAGTTTGATGAGTAAATCGTGGCCATAGTATAAGTTGGGTGAGTAATGAAACATTCTACTCACTTTTCGACTATAATTTTAATGAACTTTTATCAAAATTTAAGCACTACCAAACATGGGCTAAACCTTAACCGACATTTTTCTGTAAACGGGAATTTTCCGTGTAAAGCTCGTGCAGAATTAATAACTCAATTGTAATTCCCCGAACTTCATTTTACATACTTGGTCTATATGGTATTAATCTTCAACCCCCGACCTAAGTGGTGAATTTTACATTGAGCTGAAGTAGAAATTTAGGTTAATCTAGATGTTAGTTATTGATGTGTTAAACAACTATACCTTGAAAGTGTCTAAATTATTGGTAAAGATTCACGCTTTTAATTCAATTAATCATGGTTACCCTAACCCTAATTAAGTCTTTTACATATTTGGGACATGACGTATGAAGTGACATGATCACACAACAATATTATAAGGTTCATTGGACATTATAAATATCAAGGTGCAAATCGTTGAAAACGATCTAAGATCGAGTATCAATTAGGTAAGTAATTGAGTCAAAGAACCGATAAAACATATTGTGTTCTTAGGGCAAGTAATATAGGCTATAAACACATTAAAATAAGTCTAGGACACTTGATTTGTACCCACCAAAATAGATGGAAAATTAGACTTTTACAACAAGAAAACACCTCATGCTTAGTATACTCCATGCTTGTTGACATGTCGTTATAATGGTCAATTCTTTTATTCCTGAGCATTAATCAAGCCTAAACTCTTCATACATGTAGTATCTTACCTCCTAAGTTCTATTCAACTTCTCCAAGGATAGATAAAATAATAATAATAATAATAATAATAATAATAATAATAATAATAATAATAATAATAATAATAATAATAATAATATATAAAATTCAGATTTTAATTAAAAGAAGACACCTCCTAATTAATGCATGGAGATGTGTAATTTTCACATTCAATTTGTTTAACCTTAAACCCCCCATCACGTCTCCTAACCCCTAAGTACTTCACATAGGATAGATATATATCGTACAAGTCACTTATGGCTCCAAATATGATAAGGAAAAAGTCAAATTTTGCTGCATGAAGCCACCTCCTGCTTAACACATGTCATGCTTGTTAATGTGGCTGCATGCAACATTTTCTTAAATCCTTAAAGCAAGAGTCACAACCCCAACCCTTCAAGATTCTTTATATACTCTTATTAAGTTATTTAGCCTTTCAAGTTATCCCCAAGTGACTCCAAGTGGAAGAGAAAACAAAGGAAACAGGAAAAACTAGAAACACTCAAACAAGAAGTTGGAAACTGAATTTCTAGATAGGTAAGTTTAGGTCACGGTTTTGAAGGTTATTTTCATTGTTTTTGAAGGTGTTACAATCTCTTAAGCCTTTGAAATTACTTGGTATATGTTGGGGATGTTATTATGGCAAAAAGAGAGAAAATTGGTGGAGATATATTGAGTGAAACAACTGAGGACAGAAATTGTATTGTTGCTAGATTCTGCCTATTCAACCTTTGATTTTGGATAATAACTTGAGTATAACTTGTATATATTAATATAAATATTTTATACATGAGTTACAAGCATATAAATGATCTTTAATAGGCTAGAATATGAGTTGTGGTATGTTAATCCAGGTGAAAGTCAAAACATCCATACTAAAATTCTTGATTCGGTGTTCAGTAAAAAGGATTGATTTTCGGGCTGTAAATCGATTATTTGTGATGAATTAATAAATATTTACCTGCACATATATGTTATATAAGCTTGGTAAAAGTTTATGAAGGAATGAATGTGATAAAGGGTGTTAAAAGATGAATGAAACAGGATATACCACCTACTAAAACTTAAAAACAGATTCTGTCCAATTTGGTAGTTTGCATAGTTTTAGCCTTTACGTATTCACTAATCATCTCTAAGGCTTGGAAAACTAATTTTAATTAGTGTTAGGTTGTTAGAGACAATTTGAGTTCGTTGACATTCATGATTAGACTAGGAAAATAATGAAATTTATGGATTGTTTTGAGGTACAATTGGTAACTCGAAGTAATAACACTATCTGATTTATTTTGGCATTGATGTTCATAGTAAGGAGTCATGTGTGTGTTAGGGTTATCGAATTGAGGATCGTGTTTAATATCATATGGCAATACATGTTGTTTTCCGACGGTAGGTGAAAAAGTAACTTGACCTACACCTAGTAGAAAGATCACACACAAAGGGAAAAAGGTAAGTGAAAATTCATTTACAACTACGATGGAAGAACATAGTATTTGTGAAATATTCTCTATATAGGTATTGTTGTAACAATTATATGAACTTGATAAGGAGATCATGGAATACCATATGATGACTATGATTAAGCATGCCGTTCATGAGCATTTGCACGTGTATGCATGACATATGTCCATTGTTAAAAATCTTGAATGCACGACATAATTAGAAAAATGAATTTGCATTATAAAATATTTTATTGACCATTACTAGGGTAACGAGGCATATGAGATATGCTTATATGATATGTTTTGGCATCTCGAGTGAGACTTTCCTAGTGATCATAGGGGTAGATAGGGAATGTGCCTTTGGTGATTACAGGCTATGATGGTCGGACTCGAGTGCGGGTGTCGGATAGGGTACATATCTAGGAGTCAAATTCTTCTCATTTTAAAAATTAAGATATGGGGACACGTTTAAAAAGGATCCAAATTTTGAACACAGGTACGGGGATACGTCTTATAAATTTTTCCTTAAAAAATGATTCAATTAAAGTAAACAACCACAATATTAAAGCAAAATAGCAAAATTACCACAATACAAATGTTTCATTTAATAATATCCAAATTTGAACAAAACACAATCGAAAATAAAGCTAAACATCTAAAATGTCATAACATAAAAAGTAAAAAGTTTTCTACTTGAAATAAAACTAAACAAGCATTCCCGATCAAGCTTTACTCCTCTTCTTCATCAAACGTAATTGCCTCCAATTATGGCTCATCAAGGGATAGTTCCGCCATCTCAATGATACCTTTTCCATCTAATTCAATTTGATCTCCACCTACAAAATATATAGATATATGAATATTAATGTGAAAAAATTAGATATCTGAAAAAAACAAAGAATATGAGTATATGGTATACATACAGAAATTCCAATATTTTGTTGGCCCATCTTTGTACTCCTCTTTTTTTCGTGACAGGAGTCGAAGATTACAATGACTAAATACCAAGTCTTCCACCCTACTAGTCGCCAGCTTGTTTCTCTTGATACTCTGGATGAGTAAATACGTGCTCCAATTTCGCTCACAACAAGAAGAGGATGCCGGTTGCGAGAGCAATTTAAATGCTAGAGATTGCAACAAAGGTATTGAAGAACCATGATTGGCCTACCAAGAGATTGGCTCTTTGTACATTCTTGCGTCAATAACATGGGGCTGATTGAAATACTCCGACCCACTAAAAAAATATCCAAATTCAGTATATTTTTTCCTCAAATCAACCGGATTTTCAAACAACCTTTGGAAGCATTTGCTTCTACTCATTGAAACTTCTTGATCTTCATGTGGTACAATTATTGGAACACCGTTACTACCATCTTGAAGCCAAGATTCATTATAATACTTAGGAACCAAAGAGTGTGCCATACAATGCAAAAGAGTGTTACTTTTATTCCATCTACTCTCCAAAACTTGGTGAATAGCATCAAAAAAATCTGATCCAAAAATTAAATCTATCCCTTCGTGCTCAAATACTATCTTTTTCACATTTTCAATAATTGTATCCCACATATCATATATTAAATGTAAAACTGAAGAATCAGTATTAGCGACTCATAACATATTATAAATAGGCTCGGTGAAAGATAAAAAATAATCCAAATTATCTCACTAAACATCATTTACTGCACATGTTTCACTTCTTGTGATTTGCCTTCGTTACTTCCATCCCTATAAATTATCCAATCTGAATCCATCACCATTTTTTCAAAGGCTGGCCTAACTTCTCTTAACCGTTTACTCATTACAATAATAGATGCAAATCTTATATCAGCCACCCTCAACAAACACAACCTAGAATATTTATTGTATATAGCTAATGCCATTTTATGATTAACAATAAAATTACGAATGTTTTCCACATCACTCACCAAATCAGCAATCCACTTACAATATTCATATTGTGGTGATTTTTCAGATGGATCACATATACTTTTCAAAGCCAAATTCAGCCTACGTACCACACAAGGAGTCCAAAAGATATGAGGATATCTTGTTTCAACGCTTAACTAAGCAGCTTCATAGTTGTTTGCATTGTCTGTTATAATTTGAACAACATTTGAGCTTCCAATTTGCTTGATTGCATAAATAAATGTTGCTGTCACGTATTCTCCATCTTTTATATTGCCACTTGCATTAATTTCTTTAAGAAACATGGCTCCACCTGTAGATGCTCCCATTACATTTATAAGAGGTCTTTTTCATTTATCCGACCAAGCATCAGAAACAATAGGCACTCTCCTTTTCCTCCATAAATCACTAATAGGCTGAAGTTTTCTATTGGTATGTTCTTTCTCTTATGGAAGCAACGTTGTACACAATCGATTATAAGTAGGAGAGGTATAACCAGCCAAGTTACCGTTGGCCAAAGTTCTACAAAACTATCTGAAATAAGAAGATTTTGCAAAGTTGAACGATAATGCACTAGCGAAGAACATTCTGGGTGCCTCTTTGTCAGTCATGTCCCTCTGTGCCATGTTGAAGGTCTTTTCTAGAGGTCCAAGGTCTCCTCTTTTTTTCCTTTTCTGCTGCAGTAAATCAAAAGCACTCGGTAATGAGATATATTCTGCCCTTTTTCTTTCAATGACCTCATCTTGTAATTTTTTCCTCTCGACCTGTTCGTGTTCCCTATTGATTGATGAATGTCATATGTTATTACTTTACAGCACTCAGCTCCTTGATTTGGAAGATTTAGCAAATGAGCCTTCACTTTGGTGTAAGATCCAACCACCTTTTTGCTGCAATAGTTGCAACTCCAAGTCTGGTTTCTACCTCTGCTTACTGACGTGGTGAGTACCTTCACATGGTTCCATAGTGGCTTATCATTGAGTTGATTTGCACGAAGATTTGATGGTCGTTGAGGTGTTTCTAGTGTAGAGTTAGATGGACTCATTATTTGAAATTAGGAATATGCAAGATTCTGGAATTTTTTTGACTAGATGTTGAAGAAATATGTTCTTGTACAGGAAGATGAACTTGACTAGAGAAATATGTTGAAGATGAACTCGTGATTAATATGAAGAATCCGGAAGTCTGGTGGAAATATGTTGAAAATGAACAGAAATATGTTGAAGATGAACTCATGATTTATATGAAGAATCTGGAAGTTTGGTGCAACTATGTTAAAGATGAACTCGTGATTAATATGAAGAATCTGGAAGTCTGGTGCAAATATGTTGAAGATGAACCTCGTGATTAATATTAAGATGAAGCTACTACGTCAGATTGCAATACGAAGCCTTAATACAATAGTGAAGAATCTGGAAGTCTGGTACAAATTATGGAAAAGGAAAAATTGGTAGCTTGATTTCTGTATTCCCAATTTTAATTGTTAATTTCGATTAGTAATTTATTCTATACATAATGTTTTGTCTCCCAATATTAATTGTTAATGGTTGGTTAGTAATTTAATATTCTATAATAAAGGTTAGGTTATCTGTATTACATTTTCATTTCGTTTTATTGGATATTCTTTTAGTTAGTATTAATTTTATAACTTTATATTAATTTTATTTACGTTATATTAACGAGATTTAACGTGGGCTCGTTATAGTAATTTTAATTTAGAGATTAAATGAATTGGGATCAATATTTATGAATTTACGATATTTATGGTTAAGGATGTTTAATGTGAAATTGTGATCGCACTCTAAAAAGAATAAGAATGACTAGAGTCGTACATAGGCGACAAGTTGATTGAGTAGTACGTAGATGAAAATTTGACGATTCACCAATCTTTTACTTTACTTTTAAAGATAAAAATGAGTTGGGGTGGTCAATATGATCTAGTATATTTATGTCTTTACGTTTAACATGAAGTTGTATGATCACACACTAAAACGAATAGGATTGATTAACATCGTGCATAGGTGACAAATTGATTGAGTTATATGTAGACGGAGATTTGACTACTCACCATTATATGGAGACGGAGATTTGATTACTCACCATTCTTTTTACTTTACTTTTAGAAATTAAGTGAGTTGGGATCAATATGATTTAGTATTTTTATTGTTAAGGGTGTTTAACATGAAGTTGTGTGGTTACGCTCTAAAAAGAATAAGATCAACTAGAATCATGCATAAGCGACAAGTTGTTCAACTTGTACATAGATGAAAATTTGACTATTCACCAATCTTTTATTTTACTTTTAAAGATTCAAATGAGTTGGGATCAATATGATTTATAATATTTATCATCAAGGATGTTTATGTGAAGTTGTGTAAGCGTAGTCTTAAAAGAATAAGATCAATTATCATCGTGCATAGACGACAAGCTGATCAAATTATATGTGGACGGAAATTTGACTACTCATCATTTTTTTACTTTACTTTCAAAGATTAAAATTAGTTGGAGCCGATATGATTTAGGATATTTACGATTAAGGACCTTTATGTGAAGTTGTGTGATCATACATTGAAAAGCATAAAATTGACTAGCATCGTGTATAGGTGATAAGTTGATCGAGTTCTAAATAGACGGTGATTTAATTACTCACCAATTGTATTATTTTATCGTGATGAAATTAACTAACTAATATTCGTTGTTGAAAAATGAACTCGTGATTAACAATAGGATTATAATTTGAAATCAATTTAAAATTAAAGCCGAAATAGATTCTTTTCAAAAGTCCATCTCATTTGAATTCTTTGTGAATACATTAATGATATGCATATAAGGTGTTTGTAAAAATTTAAATACGAATTCAATCAGTGGTTTACATTAAAATAAAAAATAAAAATGTGACATGATATAAGATCTTAGTTGTCGTCACTTAAAAAAACAAAAAAAAAACCGTAAATTATCTCATGTGAATTCCCTCTTAATCGACGTTTGAAAATTTAATTATGGATATGAATTCAAATTTTACTTTAAATTAAAAAGTGACACGATGATACGTTTTTTGTGTCTTGTATCTGAATTAATATGCTAAAATTTGAATGTGAAATACTCGTCACTTTTCTTTTCTTTTTTATGTTTCGCACAATTTTATTTGTATTCTTTTTTTGTAGAATTAAAAAATTAATATTTTTAATCTGTTATGGAGATAAATATGAACAATTAAGGTTATCAATTTGAAAATGATATGTCACGTAACTTTTTAATAATGTACATGTCTATGTAGACACATATAGAAATTAGTATATTTATTTTATGTAAAGACAAATCCCATCTTATATGAAAAAAATTTCAATATATTAAAATAGATGTACACATGCATCAACTTATCTAATAAAAATAATAATAACAATAAAAAAAAAAAAAGAGGACGGCCCAACTGGTTATTGAAAATTAAAATTCCTTCATTTCTTTAACTTCTTCATTGGGCTCCACAGAAGCCCATTTAACACACAACCACAACCTTTCATCTTCTTCAACAGGTTGTTGTCTTCTTCAACAGGTCGTCTTCTCCAACTCTCTTCTTCCCTTTGCTGCAAATGTTGCTGCAATCTTCTCTAAATATCTGCACATTTCTATAAAGCACTCGAAACAAAGGGTTGTTGCCACCTCAAACGGAAGCTAGAAGCAATACTCCACTGTCCATTGTTTTCTCCTTTTTCCAACCGTGTCCGAGTTCAAAATCGAGAATTTGACACATATCCCGTGTCAGTCGATATGAATACTTCGCCATTTTTGGAGAGTCCGACCATCATAGATTACAGGAGGATGTATCACTTGACTATGGTTTTGTG